GACTACCTGCAAAGCCTGAGGACCATGAGAGAGAGAGAACAACCTGCAAAGCCTGAGGACCATGAGAGAGAGAGAGAACAACCTGCAAAGCCTGAGAACCATGAGAGAGAGAGAGAGGCAGAGCGAATGAAAGTGACGAACAAAAAGCACATGGGAAGATGATGGATCATTAAAAGAGGACAGGACCACAAGAAAGGGGTTGTAAATAACTACGATTCACACCCTTCACTTTTTTTATTTTTTTAAAAAAAATTGAATGTTATTTGACTAACTTACATGCGGAAAAAAAAAAGGTTACCTCGCCATCTATTTCTTAAGAGGAATGATGATATGGAAATTTGGACCATCTTTCTCAATCTGAGTGTTGAAAAATATGCACTTCTCACTCACTTAACCTCGGACTGAAAATGAAAATGGTGCATTTTCACTTTTTAGGGCCTTGCATGAGTGCTTCATGTGAATTTGACATGGGCCCAACGGTTAGGAATCTTGTGAACCCACCTTACCAGCAAGTAACCATCTGAACCATCTGCATCAAGCGTTTGTCGCATTTGGTTGTGGCACTTGCGGCCAAACTCTGAGAGAGAGAAAACAATGAGTGAAAAAGGAGAGTGAAAACAATTAGAGAGAGAGAGTACACAGAAAGGGACCCGACTAGCAAGTACGAAACCACCTTTCTTAAGGCTGGCTATTGGCCAAGCGGCTACGCCCGGCCCGCCCCGCCCAGTTAACTGACCGTAAAAAAGTACGGCCTGGGCCGCCAACTATGGCATGTAGGGCTAAGCTGTTCACTCCGGCCCCGACCCCTTTTCTTCTTTAATTTTTCTTCATTTATCGTTATCACTCTTTTGAGTGATTTATGTACGGACTTTTTTTTTTTTAAATACGAAATGTTTCATTTATAAATGGGAATTACAAAGAATGTCCGTCGACCGGTATTTTTTATTTTTTTCTAAAATTGCCCTCGGTTCTAGGATTCTATCATCGAATTAAATTTTTATTTTTATTTTTTATTTTTTTGTTAGTAAAAAAACTAAAATTAAAATTAAAACTAACAAAAAACTAAAAAAATAATAATCAAATTTCAGTCCGAGGATCCTCGGACCAAGAGGCAATATTTTTTTAAAAAAACACAGGTTGGTTTACCTTTTTTATAATTTCTACCTCAAACATTTTGTGTTTTAGGAAAAATTTTAAAATACAAATTTTGTCATGCGGGATTGATTATTGAGATTAAGATAGTGTGTATACAAAATTTGAGGTCATACAAATACCGTAAACAGAGTTTTTTAAAAGTGTCGTTGCATTATACTGTGGTACAACCATTACATAGGATCATTGTTCTTAGTTTTAAGGCAATGATTTCATGCAGCTCTTATACAGTAATATGATGCAACAATGCCATTTATTTGAACCAAAGTTTGAAATATACACTCTTTTCATTATAATAAATAATTATAAACAAAGGAAAAATTGAAAACACAATTTAAAAAGTATTTTTTTAACCCAATTAATATAGACCGTTCATTTTGGTAAGATGTTTAGATCTAGGCCTTAGAATGATTTTTTCATGACCAATTTTTTTGAATGGCTTTATTATCATTAGATGAACAATGTTAAAAAAGAAAAAAAAATGAATTTCAGTTTATAAAGGCTAAGATTTTGAAATTCACAAAATGAATGGTCTAGATTCGTTTTTGGAGGGGAATCATTTTGACTATATCTAGGGTTCAAATTCAACTTTTTTTTTTGGAGGATTAATTATTGAGATTAAAAGAATGTGTGTGCAAAATTTGATATCAAACAAATGCCACAAACATGGTTTTTTAAAAACGTTGTTGCATTATACTATGATACCACCATTACATTGGATCATTGCTCTTAGTATTTTTGTCCAGCTAGGCTATAATAGACCATAGTCGGGGCCTGGGATGGCACTATAAGCACAAGGCCCAGGAGAGGGCCAAGGCTAGCCTAGCCTAGCCTAGCCAGGCCCGGTGCATTGCGGGAGTTTCCGTTTAGGGTATTGACACCCCCTAAAATCTGGGGTCCAAAAAGCAAGAGGGTAAGAAGAGGACCCAAGTTGGAAAGTGAATCACAGGGGAGGAAGAGAGGATAAGATAGCTTTTGGACAGCCAAACTGAAGTGGACTGATGATAGCCCGTCCTCTCCTCTGTCCGCCCTATTTAAGATTTCTTCTTCTCTCTCTAAATCTTACACCCACCCCCTCTCTCCCTCACTAGTGCCACGTCATAAGACAGAATCAGAGAGAAAAGACTTCACAAGAAGACACACGTCTAATTTTGTCCTAAGAATGGAACTTAATTTGTTCCGGGGGCGAGTGTTTTCCCGTCACCATAAAACTCATATATTTTTCTTTATCCAACCATCCTTTTTAAATGGAAGGTTAAGATTGCTCCAATCACATTTCTATATCATTTTATTTTTAATATTTTTTTATAAATTATTTTAACACTAAAATTTGGAGGTGCAATCCTCTATTAAATTCACATTAGCGAAAAATATATAAAAATATTTCTAATAAAATACAATGACCAAAATACTTTTGAAAGTTTCAAAGGGCATTTGGGCCATTATATTTTATCAAAAAATTACTTTTAACATTTTTTTATAGGTGCACCCCAATAAAAAGATGACACATACCAAATTTCATATTTATACAATTTGTATAAAAAAAACTAAAAATAAAATACTTTTAAACATTGGATCTAAGATCAAACGGTGAGTGGCTTTCTTGATCAAAATTGAACGGCTGGATGGTAGGGAAAGCATAGATCTTTTATGATGTAGAAGAAGTATAGAAACATTTCCCATTTGTTTAAGCTCAAAGGATAGAAATAAATCCAGGTGATACCTGCCACAATGGGTTGTCCCTCTCTCCTCCCTTTCTCTCTCTTTGGGTACATTTCACAACTTTCCCACTATTTTTTTATTTTTTTTGTTGCTGACTTTCTTAAAATCCCGGAGGAAAGTGAAAACTGGTAGCCTGAATATTGAGAACCTGTCTGATAAATTGTAATATTATTATTCTCGCTTGTTTGGTGGTGGGAAAGCAAGAAATTATATATTTTTAACTCAAAATTTATGTAGAGCTAAGGCTTTAAACAATCAAATTATAGCTTACCTAAAAAATTTCACTATAAGAAGTTGTTTTGATGCCCAAAGAATCCTCAAATTGATCATCTCGACATCAAGATACATGGACATGAGAAAAAAATATATTTCAAGTTTTGAAAATAATGTAACGTGTTTTTAGACCGTCAATTTTCAAGTTTTCTTATATCTATCAATCTACAGTATTTTTGAAGCTTTAAACTTTATAAATAAATATGAAAATATATTTCGAGGCTATCCCAATGATTTTCAGTATTGAAACTACATTTTTCGACACTATTTGAAGGTAAGCTCTAATTTGATTGTTTAGAGCCTAGGCTCTATACAAACTACACCTAAACCCCTAACTATAGGTGCAGTTTGTATAGAGCCTAGGCTCTAAACAATCAAATTAGAGCCTACCTTTAAATAGTATCGAGAAATGTGGTTTCAATACTGAAAATCTTTGTGATAGCCTTAAAATATATTTGCATCTTTATTTATAGAAAAAAGTTTATAGAAGGTTGCAACCTTAAAATGTAGAATTACATATACACATCAAAAAATCCATCTAAAAAGGTTGTTCTAATGTTGGAAAACCCTCCAATAGATCATATGGACATCGAGATACTTGAATATAAAAAATAAAAAAAAACATTTTGAGTACCATAAACAGTGCATCTTGCGACACATTATCTAGACCTCTATTTTCAAGATTTTTATATGTTTATAGATCTACTTGATTTTAACTATTTTTGGAGCTTAAAATTTTATAATTAGATATGAAAATAGTTTTCCAGATAATCCTAAAAAAAATTTTAGAGCCAATTGCATATTATGATAAAATTTGGAGGTGTACCTTAATTGGATTGTTTAAGGTTGCCACTTTATAAAAACTACACCTTTATTTATAAAGTTTAAAGCTTAAAAAATAGTGTAGATCAACATATCTATGAAAATCTTGAAAATTGACGGTCCAAAAGTTCGTGACAAAATACTCTATTTTCAAAACTTGAAATCCATGTTTTTCTCATTTACATACATCTTGATGTCAAGATGATCAATTTGAGGATATTTGAACATCAAAACCTTTTCTAGTGAAATTTTTGTGGTGGGCTATAATTTGATTGTTTAGAGCCTCGGCTCTATATAAACTTTTCCCTTTAACTACTCATTATATATTTGATGTGTAAAATATTTTTTAAATAATATTTTCTTGCAATAACCCTTTAACGTAATTTTTACAATGTATGGTTGAGATTGAAATTTGATCTCATATCTATGAATTTTTATCACTCGTTGGCTCTGTCGTGTACTAATCCCATTTGCCATTACCCAAGCTTGTTATCACTGTTGCACCAAGGCCGCTTGCCTACACATAATCATGCCCTCTCTCTCTCTCTCTCCAAATGATCATGCTCTCTCTCTCTAGGGATAATACTGGGTTAGGATTCTTCGAGAAATTGGGATACTCTCTCCCTCAATTGAAAAATTTATCATAAAATATTGCTAAAATGTCAAACCACCCAATAATTGTTGGAGTAAGTCAAATGAATGATTTATCAATAAAGTGGTTGTCAAACCACCCAACAAAAAGGGTTAGGGCTTTATTGATGGTTTATAATTTTCTCCAAAAAGTAGTGAAATGAAAAAAATATAAGTTTCAACTTTCCTCTCAAATGGGTGAAAACTACAGTACATGAGAAACTCTGAGAGTTTCCCCAATTTTACTGTTCTCGAATAACTTTCCCCTAATGAGGATCGTTTGCTCCCTCTCATATTCAAGGCCAAAATTGCAAGCTTTCTGACTCTCTCCCATATTTGCTCTCTCCCTCTCTCTCTCTCTCTCTAATTTCTTGGAGGATAAAGCTTTCTTTTCCTTCGGATACAAAGTTGAATAAAACCCATTATCATTTCACAAACCGAATTGCAGAGTACAAAGCAAAACTTTTTAACTTTCAAACACAACCCAACAAACTTATAGATGACGATCACAACATTCTAACTACAGTGGGTAAATTGATAGCAACTGCTGTTTTCTTTTTCTTCTTTTCTTTTGCATTGTTTCTAAGAACTGTTGCTACCATCGCTTTCAGTAGAGTCTGCCTTGGATTGGATTATAACCCGAGCACCAGAAGGAAGCCTGTAATTGTTGCAAAACTCAAATCAGTAAAATTTGAGCAGTGAGAAAGTATAAGAGCAAGTAGATGAGAGAGTGGCATTACGAAAATTCACATTTTTAATAGGAAGGAAGAAGAGAGAGAGATGGAGCAAAATAATACAGAAGTTCAGAACATACACAAACAATCGGATGACCAGAGAGATAGAGAGCTGTTCAGTGATTCCAATTTTAGGGGAGCAAGATAAAAGAGCAGAAAACCAACTTCCCCACAAAAAGAAAATACAAAAGCACACAGATTGGAGAGAGAGAGAGATGTTACAGCCTTGCAACAATTCAAATTTGGGCTAGCATGAAAGTATGTATGCAAATTAACGTAAGAAAGAATGACAGCAAACAAAGCTGAATCATTAATGAGAGAGACAGAATCATGTGAGAAAGAGAGAGAGAAGAGTTCTTAACTTTCTTCGATCTTTATGATCTTCTCACTGTCATGATCCCTGAAGGAGTGGAATCTCTGAGAAGCGCCCTTCTCACTGTCATGATCCCTGCAGGAGTGGAACCTCTGAGAAGCGCCGAGGATCCGTTTGCTGCTGCTGAGGGGTGATTGTTGCTGTTGGTGGGCAGTAGATTTCCTGTGAGCATCAGCGAGTGGCGATCTTTGAGGAGGCTCACCGCTCTTCGGCTGCTTCTTTGTCGTTCGAGGGATGCATTTTGCAGTTACTGTATCAGAATCCTTTTCTTTCTCCTCATTTGTTGTATCCATCTTGGAGCCCCTGCAACTTCCTTTCATCATTAACGCACAGTAAAATTTAAAGAGAAAGTGAGGGATTTTCAACACCGGCCAAAAATCAGGTACCCCATTGAGGATGACAAATTAAAACAAAAAATGTTCTCCTGGACTCGCAGCCAAATTTCCCATAAACATAAAGAGAGCCATTAGCATAGAACTCACATCTAAGGCAAGCTAAGCAAAGAAAGAATCAGTTTCCAAGCAGTGGCAGAAACTTAAAAGCAACTATTTAAAGGAACACCGAAGATTATAAAGACCAAACCAAAGAAACGAAAGTTGTTTCTTGAGTAAAGCAGTAGAAGTTTTGAACCAAATATTCTGGGGACATAATAAAGAACCACACTAATTTCCCCCATACTTCTTCAATAAACAAAGGTAAAGAAAGATGATAGAGAGATTCAAGGGCAATAGATAAACCGGAGCAATTCATAGGACATAATTGATTGGTAAGAAAATAGGCTCGAAAGATAAGAGCAATCTTGGGAGATAGATAGTCTCAATGCAAATAAACAAAATAACAAATTGAGAGCAATCAATTGTTGAGGAAAAAAATTTGAAAAAGAGAGGAAACCAAAGACCAAAAAAAAAAGAACAAAGATTACCTATCTGCATTGCAAGAAGAAGACCTCTTTAAAGTGGGCACCCCTTCCCCCACCTGCTTCTTCTTGGTCTCAATCAAGCTCCCACTAAAATACTCTTTATCCTCCAATCTCAACCCCACAAACCTGGGGTTACTTTCATAAAGACAATCCAACTCCCCCATCATCATACTCGACTTCGAAACCAATCTTGGCTTCATCATCAAACCCCCAAAACTGCCATGCCCCCCCTCCTTAACAGCAATTGAACCACATGATATCAATTGCATCAGAACATTTGAACCCTTCGACCTATAAACCCCTCCTTCTCTCTCTTCTTCGTCCTCCATTATTCGAAAACTCCCATTCATTTTCTTACAATCAGCTTTGATTAGAGATTCTAAGGTTTCAGCTTTTCTTCCACCTGAGGAAGAGGCGCTCGAGCTCGAAGGAGGTGGAGGCGACGCCTCATCCCCGCTCCCTTCATTTAGGGCCTCTTCAGTGGAGACCCCACGGACGGCATGGGATCCTCGGTCCTCGGTCTGCGTGGCAGCATCAGTGGCAGGTGTGGGGCCTGCATAGGCAGTTGAATGGGCCTTGTAGACTTTGTATTCAGAGGAGTTCTCGGTGATGGAGTTTGGGGAGGTTCCTGCAGAGCTTAGGTGGTCGTTTTCGGTGGTTGTCTTGGGTTTCTCAGTGATTGAAGAAGAGGAGGCCTCTTGGCAAAGGAGAAGTTGTTGTTGCTTAGGAGAAGCCTGAAGCTGTGGTTGTTGTTGTAGTTTGATGGGTTGGTATCGATCTGCAATGAAAGGTTAGGGATGTCACATCCATGGCTTCTTTAAAAGAGAGACATTGGGAAATTTTTCTTTTTACATTCAGTCATGGCTTCTCAAAGGACTTGAACTGAAGCAGGTATTTTCTTTTAGTTTGAAAGTCTGGAATAGCTTCTTCAAAGGACTTCAAATACGATGTTTGCCATGGCTTTTTCAAAGAAGAGACCAGGACTATGGTAGTGTTTTGTTTTTCTTGGTTACATTCTCCAACTGCTCCTTCCACGAAGAGGAACCAAACAAAGATCTTGGGTCTCCCCCTTCTGATATTTAAGTTTTTACTCACTTCCTTGAAGAAGTGACCTAAGTTTGTTACAGTGTCATGGCTGCTTCAAAGCAGGACCTGAACTAAGACCTTTTGATCCTTGTTACATTTTCTGACAGCTTCTATCAATTTTCAAGAGGAACCTGGACTAAGATTTTGCATTCTGTTTACGTTAACATTATAAAAAAAAAAAAAGATTTTGTATTCTGTTTTATCTTAATTAGAGCGTCATTTTCTGCAATTGCTTATTCAAAGAAGAGAGCCCCAGAAATTTACTTTTCTTTCCCTTTTTCTGTCACAATCTTCCATATGCCCTTGTAAGGACTTGAACTACTATTTTCTATTTCTGATATTATTCAAATAAGGACCTGAACAGAGAGTTGGGCATTTTGTTAGTCACATTTGCCATGGCTTTCTTCGAAGAGAGACCTGAACCGAGATCTTGGGTTTTGTTTAGTTTTTAAAGTTGAATTCTTCCATTGCATTTTCAAAGAAGAGACCTGAACTTTTTTTTGTCTTGTGACAATTTGCCATGATTTCTTCAAGGAAGGACTTGAGCTAAGATTTTTTTTTTTTTTATTTCCGGCTTGCATTTTTTGTCAAAGTTTATGGATTACCTGGAGATGGTTCATCTAGTAGCTCTGAGCCTTTGAGGACATATTCATTTCCATTAACAGGGTGGATCAGGTCATCTTCAGATAGATCATGCCATACAAAACCACTCTTGTAGCTTCTGCAACACAGACAAGGAACTTTTTATTAGAAATTTTTTCAACTTAAACCAGAACGAATTCGTATCAGTATATTTGTAGTTTCTAAAACAGAATTCAGTTGTTTCTAATAGCAAAATCTGGGCCAAAACAGGATGAATTCAAACATTTTTTTTTGAGGTTGGGGGTGGGGAGTTACCTTTTGCAGGACCAGGAGTACATTGCAGGCATGCCTCTACCTCTATGAGCATTGAGCCTGCTAATAAAATCTGCAGAGAAAACAGTAAGAAATCTACGAACCAATCGACCATTCCAAACAAGTGATTTCAAAGCTCTCTCTCTTATACCTCTGAGATAAAGGCCTCGAGGGGACGCGAGAGGGACTTCGATGAAATGGGGGTGCTCAAGATGCCTGTTTCTGCACAAGTAGTACACTACTGCCACTTTCCTCTGCTGCTGCTGCTTCTGGTGTTGTGTATTTTCAGACCATGGTCTACCCCTCTCTGGACTCACCTGCCTGAACTTCTTCATTCCAATCTCCATTTCCTCTCTCTCTCTCAAATCACTCCTGCCTATCTTTCAGTCCAATCTCCATTCTCTCTTCCACCTGCCTGAAACCCATTCCAATGTCCATTTCTTTCTCAAACCTGAAAATCACAATTGCATACATTTCTTCATTCCAATCCCCACTTCCCCCTCTATAACTCCATCCAGATCTGCACGTATCTGCTCTTCTTTTTGGTGAATCTCTTGAAAATGCGATAGAACAGAGAATACCGAAAACCTAGAGAAGAGGTCGGGGACCAGAATGGAGAAATGGGTTCCTCTACGGTTAATCTCTCTCTATCTCCAGATACAGTCAAAATCTCTCTCTGCAGAGTAAGAGGGAATGAATACAATAAATAGCTTTTATTATTCCCACTTTTTCAGATATAAATTGAAAAAGTGGAAGAGAGAGGCGAAAACGAAAGATAAAGGAAGAGCAGAGAGTAGAGAGAGAAAACCTAGCTGTGATCAGTCTCCTGGTAAATGGACTTTCTGTTTTTTACTGCACTGTTTATTACCTTGCTCCAAACTACCATTAACAAAGTATGAAATCCCACCATTTTACCTTCTTTTTCCCCACCCGTACATGGTAGGGAAACTTTCAACTCCGAGGCCTTGATTTTGAAGTTTGATCTCGAAAGAAGCAACGAGTCAAGCTGGTCATCCCCTATTCCGGTTTCAACGCTCCGCACGCCGCGACCCGCTGAAATTTGAAAGGGCGGGCTTTGCAATTTGGGAGTACACTATGCACTGTTCGATTGCCGCGGACCTGGCCCATGAACCAGGCCATGGCCCGAGTACAAATAACCCTGAACCGATTTGGGTAACCAGCCAAGTCCTTGCTGGGCTTAAAAAAGTTAAAAAAAAATCTAAAAAACACTCAAAAAATATGAAAACTGTACTTAAAATTATAATTAAACAAACAACATTTAAAAAAGTAGTGAAAAAATAGATTTTAAAAAATCAATTTGTGTCAAGTGGTATTTTATAAATAATCTAAAGCAATAGAAAATGTAAAAATAAATATTTATGGCCAAAATACTTCTTAATCTTTTCTAAAATAATAGTAAAACTACAAATAAATTAAGTATTTATGGCTAAAATACTTCTTAATCTTTTCTAAAATAATAGTAAAACTACACATAAATTTTTTATTTTTTAGATTTTTATAATCTTTTTAAGGAAAAATACCCTCCATTTTTAAGTTTTATGTCTCAATAGACCCAATCTTTAAAAACATATATTGAGTTATAAAAAATCTAAGTTTTATATCTTTTAACCTCTTAAGCTAACTTTATCCCTTTTAAATTTATTTTTTACCCCAAATAAATATAAAAAAGATATATCATTTTTAAACATCATCATTTCTCTCTCTTCAAGTGATTGTCTTTTAAATCTCTCTCTACCTATTTTCCCATTCTCTCTCCCATGTGTCTCTCACTCTCTCTCTCTTACGATCGAGAGACAAAGAGGGTGAATATTAGAGAGAGAGAAATTTGAGAGGAATGTATCACAAAGGAGATGAATGATTTAGCATGAGAATGTCTTTTCTATATGGGAAAAGTTTATATAGAGTCGAGGCTTTAAGCAATCAAATTTGAACCTACCTCAAAAATTTCACTAGAAGATGTTGTTTTGATGCCCAAATATCCTCAAATTGATCATCTCGACATCAAGATGCATGGACATGAGAAAAAAGTGGATTTCAAGTTTTGGAAATAGTGTATTTTAAATCTTTTAACCTCTTAAGCTAACTTTATCTCCTTTAAACATATTTTTTTGCCCCAAATAAATATAAAAAAGACATATCATTTCTAAACATCATCATTTCTCTCTCTTCATGTGATTTTCCTCTAAATCTCTCTCTACCTATTTTCCCCTAAATCTCTCTCTACCTATTTTCTCATTCTCTCTCCCTCGTGTCTCTCCTCTCTCTCTCTTCCGTTCGAGAGACAAAGAGGGAGAAGGTTAGAGAGAGAGAAATTCGAGGGAAATACATCACGTAAAGAGATAAGGGGTTTAGAATGAGAATGTTTTTTTTATATGGGAAAAGTTTATATTGAGGCGAGGCTCTAAACAATCAAATTTGAGCCGACCTCAAAAATTTCACTAGAAGATGTTGTTGTAATGCTCAAATATCCTTAAATTTATTATCTCGACATCAAGATGCATGGACATCAGAAAAAAGTGGATTTCAAGTTTTGGAAATAGTGTATTTTGTACATTATTTTTGAAGCTTTAAACTTTATAAATAAAGATGATAATATATTTTAAGACTATCACAAATATTTTCAGTATTGAAATAACATTTCTCAACACTATTTGAAGGTAAGCTTGAATTTGATTCTTAGGCTCTATACAAACAACACCTTTTTTATATTTGCTAGGGTTAAAAAAATAGTTAAAAATAGGTAAAGTTAGTCACTGGGTTAAGAGATATAATTTAAATCTTTGGATATATTAAGATACGAAAACCAAAAATAAGGGGAACGATGATATTTCTCCTTTTTTTAAAGGTAAGGAGGTTAAGCTGCTTGACCACCCTAACAGGCCAAAACTAGCCACAGCCAATGGCCGGTTTCGAGTGACCTAGTCGGTTCCAGTTCAGCCTGACTATGTTGTCGAACACTGATACTAGGAGACTATCTATCAATTATTATAGTCACAATTCACGTCTAACTATTAGATATCAAATTGGAATGGCTTAGTGTGTTACAAAGTTCAATTTTTTTATTCTTTATTTTTTTTTATTTTTTTATTTTTTATTTTTTTCTAACTTTGAGTCTAGTTAATAACACATTTACAACAACATGTTATAAATTTTTACAGATAAGAGTAATTATGACCTCCTTGTCCTAAAAGTAAAAAGTTCTATTAAAGTGTATTTCCTTAAAATACTCAACTTTTTTTATACTTGATAGCCTTACCCCATTATGTAGTAATTATTTTTTTTTAGAGATTATTTTTAGATAATTAATCATGGTAAAGTATAAATTCTTGATAAAAAGATAAATATTTTTTAATTATAACTGATGACATCATCTACGTGAGGTGTGACATTACTTAATAATGATTGCTTCTTAACTACTAATAAACTATCACTAGTTCCTTATATATAGTGCCCCTCATAATGATAAAAAATGCCAAACCTACTAAGAAAAGTAAAATATCAATAGTTCCTTATATATACTGCCCCTCATAATGATGAAAAATGCCCTTACTAAAAAAATTTGTATTACAAAAAAAGGGGCAATTAATATCTAAAATTATTGAAAAATGTTTAGTATATTAAAGAAATACTCATTTGTATTAGCACTCTAACATAACCGAAAAGTAAATTGTCTTTTTGCATACTTTTCTTTTGAATTTAAGTCTTAGTAGTTTAAAAATTATTAGTTGTGTTTAAAAAAAGAAAATATTTTTATAGGGTTGCAGCTGTATCAAAATATGTAAAGCCTCATCACAAAACTCATTGAAATTTGCGGTTCTAGAGTCTTCTAACTTTCAAATCGATTATCTCAGCCTTGACCATTATGGTTATGAAAAAAGATTACCCTTTCAAGCCCTAAAAATATTGTATATTATTAAATATTATCTGGACTGTCCATTTCGCCCTAAAAATATTGTATATTATTAAATATTATCTGGATTGTCCATTTCGCCCTAAAAAACTTGTTCATGGTTATGCAAGATCTATACCGTTGTTTTAGCTTCAAATTTCATAGTCTGTTTTGGAAATTGATTTCAGGGCCACCAAGGAGACTTTTGATGCCTAAAATGCATTGGGTACAGGATTCGAGGTGACACTTTACTTTGTTTTTATAAAACCTACTACTATAGAAACCACATCCTTTAAAAATACTCAAATCATTTTAAACATAGTATTTTTTTCACATTAATACTCAAATAATATTAAGGAAAAATAGAGTAAATGAGGATTCCATGAAGGATTGGGATCAGTCCCACGCCACGCCGGTTCCGGTTCCTGTTCAAAATGGGAACACCGGCCAATCGAACCCCATTTTTTAGTCGCTACAAAAGAATGTTGAGGTGAAGTTTGAAGTTTGAACCTGAAAGAGTGGTGAAGAAAAAGTTAAGGAGACATAACCGCCCACTTCTAATAAAGATAACAATATGCTCCTTGGATCCCATATTTTTTGCATGTGAGGTCGGCTTTTGGGTTTCTAGAGACACAGACTTAATTTTACTTTGAAGTTTTGAACAACTTCGTGTAGAGAAGAAAAGTTCAAGATCAAATGCTACAAGGCATCATTATCGTCTGTTCCAAAAATGGATGACTACAAGTAATTCTCATGCATTACTATCACAAGTGACTCTCATCTATAGTCCATTTCAGAATGAGCACTGAAATGAGATGATCGTGGGGTCAACAAGTGACTCTCATCTATAGTCCATTTCAGAATGAGCACTGAAATGAGATGATCGTGGGGTCATGGTAAGTAGCATAAAATTTTGCAAAGTAAACATAGAACTTTTTTATTTTTTTTGACAATGAAACCATTTACTTTTGATGCAAAGATGTCACAATTACTTATTTCCATCTGATGTGAAATTTGATAGCTTGGGTGTATTAGTTCGAGAAAACTTCTTATGGAAATTAAGCTTAATCAATGGAATGAATATAGCCACTCAAATTTACATCCAATGGTCAAAATTAGTTGTGACCACCTTGTTGAAAGTTAGATTATGTGTTCAACCATGGTGTACATAAATTAAAAATTTTATTATTCTTACACCGGCAAGACCACTCACAATATCCAGTTACAACAAATAACTCTTGAAATAAATAAATAAAAGAAAATAAACATGACTACCACTATTGAATACAATTCATTAAATCAAAACGTTAACTCATTTCGTTATGGAGGAGAATATCAAATAACAAATATAGATTTAAAGAAGAAGTAAAATTGTTGGAGCTTACCTCAATCAGGCTCAGTACATCCCGCACCGAGTCTCCTCCTTCCGATGGTACTCGAGATTTATGATCGGTCTCTTGATTCTCCTACATATGGCAGAACCCTCTCAATGGCATATAGATTTCAATCTACAACTAACTACCTTAGAACTCAATGCTTTAGTCTTGTTCAAACGCCTTTGGCTTGATTTTTGGAGAGATGAGACATAGATCAAAAAAAGTGAGAGATCTACTAGCAAGGGGATCCTCCCCTTTGCTACCCAAAAATCCACAAGCTAACCTTAGCTTAGGAATGGCAAGTGTGCCACTTAGAAACGAAGAGATGATTTGGGCGTACCTTAGCTTAGGCAGCCACATAAAAACGAGAGACAAGACTTGGGCGTGCTCCTAGAGATTTGGAAGAAATTTTAGAGATTTTGGTTAGGGTATGCCCTTTGGAAAAACTTGGGAGAAATCTTGAAGCCTTAAGTGGGGTGTGCCACCTATAAAGAGAGTTTTGAGAGAGA